ACGCCAAAAGGGCACATGGAGCGCACACAAAGAATAACGTGGGTTGGATGGTTCCTCTGGAGGTCATCTGGCCCAGTCCAGTGCTCACAGCAGAGCCTACAGACACACACAATGATGTGAACTGGCCTCGAAAGAGCATGTCAAAAACAAGCCTCACCTTCAGATGACCTGAACTTTAAAAATGGCCATGTCAGAAGCCAGCCTGAATTGAGTGTGTCAGACCCATTTCTAATTGGCCTTGGCTTTTATGTAATTGCGCTTTCAAGAGCTAGATATTATTATTATCCACTGTCAATGGGCATCAGTCTTCAAAAATCACAGCGGCTGACTTCAAACCTCTGCTTTCAGGGATAATATTTTGTCATTTATTTTAATGGGGAACCCTCTGTTATTTAGCAGATCGCCAGTGTGCTAAACTTTGGCTACTCGATGGCCCTTCGGCACTGCTCAGTCCGGCTCTGCAGTCCATGGCTTGCTATGGGGTGAGGGGAACAGGGGAAAAAGGAGCAAGGATGAAGCAGGGTCTCGGCTTCTCCATAGCCCAGACTGAGTTGGTGGGTGGGTGAGCCTTTGGCCGGCTGCAGCACATTTGGCTCCCTCCCAGCCCCGGCCATCGTGCTGGGATTGGCATCTCTGAGGGGATCCCTGGGTCAGCAGCCTTTTGTGGAGCTGCTCTTGGGGCAAAGGGAGCCAAACGCCCTGCGGTCCTTGGGGCAATGGGGCGAGCCCCGTCCAAGCTTTGTTCCTTGCTAATTCTGCTGCTTCGGTTTTGTGTGCTGCAACCCTGCGATTGGCACTTGGCCGGACTGCTGATGCCTTGAAGAAGTATCTGGATAAATGTGATTATGTGGGAGTGTCTGTGTGGGTTCAACCACACCAAACCCACTTTATTTCCAGTGTAAAAATCGCAGTGGAGAAAAATCCGAGGTTTCTGGAGTCCCATGCAACGCTGTGTGTCCTCATGGGTAGGAGAAGAAATAGGAAAGACTGTGTCATCGCAAAGCTGCAGCCCAGATCTTGCCATTTCTATGTCTGACGTGTGTGTGCTGTTTGACTTGTCATCGTCACCCAGTTTGCGCTGCCTTTTGGCAAAGGGAGGAACAAGAGCAGGCAATGTTTTACAGAGGACAGTATCTGGCTATGGAAAAGCTGTGCAACATGACTCATTTTGTGTAAAGGACACGAAATTACAACTGCATGCCACATGAGAGATGGTAGCTGGGCTCGAATCAAAAACCATCCTCATCCAGGAAGGGTATTCAAGCATGTGCTTAATTTAAGAACATACTTAATCAGGGCCTTTGGGCATAAAAGGGTAATGATTATTCTTGTGTTGCCGAGAAAATCCAAGTGACATCCGGAAGATGTATTACTCGAGAAAAGTCAGTGTTATTTCAGCGTCCTCGTTTAATCTTTCAATTTCTAAAAAAATAATTCTTTTAATTTCTCATTGCTCACCAGTGCTGTGAATTCTTTCACAGCTGTTTTACACTCAATTGTTAATGCCAAATGGAATGAGCAACTACAATTTCGTTCAGATAATAATTATGGAAGATCAATCCTGCATCCACCTCTTTTCTCCGTCCCCATTAAATTTCCCAGCATGTAAGATATGCATGTTTGACTTTGCAGGGAAAGCTAGCCACAGTAAAAGAACCTTTTTCCCTCTTGTACACACTGTTTAATCATTTCAAAACAACAACATCCCTGTCCCCAATTTTTTCAATGTATTTGACCCCTTATTTTTTCTCTGTATAATTGTATTGCTGCAAAGATTAGATATGGCATATATGATTTTAAGTATGTGATATGTATTTTTTTTTAAATTACAAGTGACTGTCTTTATTAGCAACTGGTTAACATCCATCAAAGTTCTCAAGTTGTCCCAGTACAAGCAGGTGAGCTGTTGTCCGATCGCTGTGTTATTCAAATAACCATGTGAACAGCAGAAGCAGCAAAGCAGAAGGTGGCTGAAAGTTGTTCCTGCCGGACCAGGTCCTGCTGCCCTTCACTGTGGGGATGGTGCCTCCCTGTGTAGGCACACTGTACCCAGCCTAGGAGAGGCTCCCTGTCTCAGCGTGACCAGGGCAGATGGCAACTAATGTCTTTGGTTTCCTTGGAAAAACCAAGTGCGCTGAGTGCTGCAGCTACTCCGGACCCAACAGCTGTGAGAAGGCAAACTCTGGTCTATGTTGACCACGTTTCATAGTTTCATACCCAAACCTTTCGGCCTCTGTACAGAAGACGTCCTCTAAACTGGCCTAGACTTCTCCTGCCTTAAGGACTCTGGACACAAGCCATACAACTGGGATTTTCGAAGGGGCTGCAGGAGGCTGGACTCAAGTGGATTTCCCACCTCTACCCTGTAGGAGATATTCAGCCTGGTGCTCATGGAGCGTGGCCTCATTTTTGAGGTACTTGCTGTGCAGAAAGATATTTAGGCACCTGTTTTAAGAGAGATTCTTGGGTCAGGAGATAAGCAAGGGCTGTTATTGGCTGTAAGGTAAGTGCTTGTTCATTTTATTGACTTTGGGTTAAATCCTGTTCGTCCTTCTCAGGCAATTACTCCCCCTGAAACCAATATGACTGTCGGCACAAATAAAGCAGTTGGATTTTGGCCCCTTTTAGAAGACAACAATCATAAATCTAGCTGCCACCACAAATCCAGGTGTGAAAACGAGGGATTTTCCTGGGGGGAAAAACACAGTAAAGATCTGTGGCATAGAACTAGGGAAATGGATGGCAGAAAGGAAAAGAAAACTTAACTTCATTTAACACTAACTTATTATTAGGGTAGATGTTCAACTGGGCATCAGTAAAAAGTGTTCTCAGCTTTGCCACTGCTTCCCTATCTGACCTTGTGATGATCCTTGAACAACCCATCCCTCTCAAAGTTGTGGTTAAATACAATTGTATGTGGCTTTGAGATCGAGAGACAAGGTACACCAGTGAGTGCAAGATATTGTAAGGATGTTTAAAAAAGTGGATGATGGTGACAAAACGTCTTGGTGAGAAACTTTGAAAACATGGTACAGTAAGCAATATGACTAGGGAAGAGGGTTTTTTCATTTTTTTCCCCCTGAGTTTCTTTTCCTTTTCCTTTTTTGAACAATATATCTTAATCTTGCTCTATGGATGCAGTATGAGAGTTATGTGTGCAGGAAGTGTCTGAAATCACTTTGTTTCTAGTTTTCTTTCATACGTTCAGTAATATAAATAACCAAAGAGGATATTGCTTAACCCATAAAACAAAGTGACATCATAATTTATTAATACAGAAGACACAGTTCATTGCTGTTAAATGCCATAAAGAGCTGGAAGTAGAGTAGTTTCTCAGAAGGCATTGCCAATATGTCAAAGGAAAGATTCCCTTGATGCTATCTCAGCATGCGTAAGATCCTCTCCGAGTACTTCAAGATTTTGGTTATTCCCCCCTTAACCGCTCTGCAGCATTCAAAGGCAGCTTTCTTGGTGATTTCCCCAACATCTGACGTCTTCTTCCCACCCGTCCCACTCCTCCCAATGCTTTGCTCCTGTCATTTGCTCGAATTAACTCCATGGGAAGGAAAATAAAAAAATACATAGCCAAATGGTGGGGACAGAGATGTCTGTCCCGTTTATGCTGCTCCCAATGATGTCGGTGGGGCGGCAGTACAAGCCCACGTGTCCTCACAGCGTCCCTGTGACAGTGGGGACACGGAGCTGCACGCACAGAGGAGGGATTTCGGTGCTCCGCTGGCCCCGGTGCCCCTACGAGCTCCTGGCTCGTAGGAGGGCGATACATCAGGCTGCACGCGCTCAGGCCCCAGGCCAGCAAAGCATTTAAGCACCTGCTTACCCCTAAGCTTTTGAGTAATTCCTCTGGCATGAGCTAAGCACAGGCATCGTGGCAGCCTCCTGCTTCCCACGGTCTTCCCTTGCGAGGATGCCCACACGGCGGCCTGGCTGAACGCACGGCTGCCGGCGTCGCCTCTGGCACGGGACTGCTCACCACCCACCTCTTCTTGCTCCCTCCTATTCACAGACCTACTATTCACTGCCTAATGCTGCAGACCCCAGTCCTGCTGGCACCTCTGTGGGCGAGCCCCCAGGGAGCCCCACCAGTGTCTGAGAGGCTCTGCCAGGGCTCCCAGCACTGGGTTCAGCTGCAGAACTATTTGAGTATTCCAGGAAAAAAAACCCACTTGTGTTGGTGTGCTGTCCCCAAGCACCAGATAGAGCCAACGTATGGACAAAGTGCAGTGACCACATCTCCACAATAAGACATCCCTCTCTCTTTCAGGTAGCATAAGCGATCTTCCTGGTATGGGTAACCTGCAGCCCTGGAAACTCGCTCAGCAGATGTTCAGCTCCATGCGCTACCAGTACCCGCACAGAAGCACCAGTCCTCATCGCTGGTCCCTGTCTGCCTCATCATAAAACATGCCTAGCTGTGCTTTTGCAACTTTTGGGAAGAGACAGGATTCCTTTTGGCTTCCCAGGATATTAATTTGAATTTTTATTTGTGTTAATTTCATATTTTCCATACACGTAGTCAGCTCGCTCCCACTGAAACGTACCTATTTAATCTGATTCAGCTAGTGTATGAAACGTGCCTGTTGTGTGCATGGTGCTGCGTGGGTCCACCGAGTTACACTCTGCGTGCCAGTAGTCCCCAGGGAGCCACAGTGTGATGAGCTCCTACCTGCCTGCTCAGTGCTCACACAGCCACAGGCACTCAATCGCTCCCAGCTCCCTGGCGAGACAGATTTCCCTCCTGCTCATCAGCCGGCAGTGCAGACTTTCTGCATGCTATTTGCCTGTCCAGCTCCTCCACAAACATGCACACACGTGTGTGCTCACACCTATGGAGCCGTGGCAGCACGCATGCTCAGCCGTGTGTGCACAGCCAGCTCCAGTGCAGAGCCGGCGCCTGCACGTTGGCAGTTCGCTACCCCCCTTGAATCCCCCTCTTCTCTGGGCTATATGTGGCATTTCGAAGCTCTGACAATCTGCTCCAAATGTTTTCCATATTTGTTCAGCCTCCTTGATTCAAATACCAGGAACAACTCAGCCAGCACAAAGCGAAGCTTTGGGGGGCAAAAAAACCTCACACCCCCATCAGCGCGCGCACACACACACACGCACGTGAAAACCTAAAGTTCATCGGCATGGGAAAAGAGGAGGAGAAGAAAGCCCAGCACAGCACGTCCCTGAATAACCAGAGCCAGACAGGGAAGGCACCCGAAGGGGAGAAAAGCACCGACTCGAGCAAGACGCAGGAGTCTGCGATGAAGAAGAAGAAGCAGAAGAAAACCAAGGGGGATCCCAAAACTGGCCAGGAGGAGGAATCCCACACTTGTTGTGGCTGCCGTTTCCCGCTGCTGTTTGCTTTGTTGCAGCTGGCATTAGGCATCTCTGTAACAGTGCTGGGCTTCCTTATGGCAGGCATCAGTTCTTCTCTGCTAGTCAGAGACACTCCATATTGGGCTGGGATAATTGTAAGCATAAAGTCTGTTTCTCCATAAAGTGCCTTTGCCAACATTAATGCAAGCTGCATGACGCTCCACTTTAGACTAACCAACTGCATGCACAACACCATTTGAGTTATGCTAACTATAAATATTCCTGGGATTAAATGTCTGCGTATACTTTCCCAAGGAAACTGCTCCTGCAGAATAACACGATCTTTCGTCTTCTTCCCTGAAATACCCAACAGACCTTAAATAAAATACAGGGTTACTGTTCACTAGATGTATGTATTAGCTTGTGCTTTGCAGTGAACTCCTGCCTGGTGATGCTGAAAAAAAATGTTGATTACTTACGCTGCCTTCCCTCTTTCCCCACCAAACCATAACAATCAGGTTTTAGAAGCGAGGGCATAACTCTCAACTTTTAGCCGGGTGCGTTGGTAATAGCAAGAGGAGAGAAATGGCTGTCTTTTGAGCTTCCTCGCTGTGCTGTGTTGAAGAACCGCTGTGATTTAACCCCTTTCTTGCCTGCCGATTCCCAACTTCTCCCCCACGGGAGGGAGAGACCGCACGTGGCCGTGGGGACGGGGATGGCGCTGGTGGACGGGTAACGTGGCAGGGAAAGGGAGCCCATCCCAGGGCCCGCCGGAGGCTCCCGCCAAGTCACGCGCAGTTTCGAGTGACACGCCAGTCTCGCCGCACGGGCCGGCAGGGACTGAGTAAAGGGCAGGGTCCTGCTGGGTGTAAATAGGAGGCACCACTGGTGGGGAAGCCCGGGCTGGTCCCCAGCGCCAGCTGCCCCTGCAGAGGTGGGGGTCTCGGTGCCGTGTGCGGTGTAGCCCCTCTTGGCTGTGTGCTCGGGGACTTGCAGTTTGCCTGTGGAGCGACAGGGTTGGTGATGATGAGCCTGGGATGTGTCATGGATGTAATTTAGCATGCAGGTTTCAGGAAAATGTATATTGATGTGTTAGCACTGTTTTGGGTGTTGTTAGACTGTAAGAACTCCCAGCAAATAAATAAAACGGCTATGGGACCATCTCCCATAAATGTAATTCCTTGCCAGTCAGAGGATTATCTGAACACCTGAACTGTTTGGGGTTTGCTGTATTAATCCTGCTGGGCGACCCTCCAAAGAGTGGAAGGGGCAGGGCCTGAACTCCCAAAGGAGGAGCTCCTCTTTCTTACTCATCTTGCCCTTCTTGTTTCTCATCTGACCTAAGAGGTATCTTAAGAGTTTAGCGATGTTTTGTGGGGCGAGAGCCTGCCCTTGCTCAGGAGGAGAAATTCCTCCCTGGGGTTTTTGCCGTTACAAGCCCGGGGGGAGTACGGATGATAAAACAGCAGCATGTGACATTTTGACTCCTCTTGTTTGTTTTGGGGATTCTGGAGGTCAGATTATGTCTTTTCCAGACAGCACTAGTAGTATCCCAGGTTCGAAATAGCTTTTTCACTAGAAAAAACTGGGTAAAGAGTGAGCTGGACTGAACTAGCATATGGCCAGGAATATGAGAAAAGCCATGGAAGCAGCCCCTGGCCCATGCGAATGTCATCAGTGTCCAAACAGCATCCATCTGAGACATCCACATAGGCCTGATCTCCCTCGGGGAGGCCTGAAACCCCACCAAAGTCACTACTTTCTGAAAACAGAGCTCTTATCCCTCTCATTTTTAGCAGCAGCCGCCAGCAGTACTGACATTCGGATGCTCACGTGAGGCAAAGCTCAGTTGCTTTCCGAGTTCCCACCTAAAAAAAAGGCAAAACTCACCATGCGCATTCCTGAGCTAATCCCCAACTCAAAGCAAAACTCATTTCGCAGCCACGGTGGTCGTGTTTTGCACTGACCAGCCAGCCAGGATAACCTCTGGGGGACCACATCTCCTGGGACTGTGCTGGCTGTGGGGGTCGGGACTTTGTTTTGCTTCATGTTACAGGGTGGCCGGCTGTCAGGACGACCAGTGCACCCTGTGGGCTGCAAGTAGGGGCCTGTGGGGAGGGGTTACTGTACCCACGGTTTGAGTCAGATAGTGACTCTCACCTCGGCGACTTGTGCGATGTTGAGCCACTGGCACATTCAGGTGTGGTTTGATTCCTCCCTGGCTCAAAATGGCTTTTGGTGGCCCCCTGCTTGCCCTCAGGGTGATGGCAGGGACTGTGTGCTGGGGGCACATGGCCAGGCAGGCTCCTGGGGCACCACACTGCTCTCCTGCACCCTCAGCCCAAAGCAGAACGGAAAGAGGGGTCTGACGCCAGCACAGAGGGTGGTAGAAAGGAAAACGGTGCTAGAAAGGAGAGGTGGAGGTGGCAGTGCAGCCCCAGAGCCTCCCCAGCAAGAGAGCGCGTGTGGAGCACTGGCCACGGCCAATGCACCATGAGAGTAATGCAAAGCATATATCTGAGGGGCAAAATGCAGGAGGTACAACATGATGCTGCATTTACTTTGTTGCTGTGCTGCGATATCTCCGTGGAGGTACTCAGTGCCCACTGGGACATCGGACGGAGATGGCCAGGAGCTGCTTAGCTGCAGTTTCTGGGTGTGTGGGTCACAGGGTGCTGCTGGTGAGCTGTGGCAGGGAGCGTGCTGAGGACCAACCTCCGGAGAGCTGGGGGGAAACTGGTCCGTGAAGGAGGACCCTTGGCTGGGACATCCTACGTGTGGCTGGATGTTCTATGGGCTGGCTCTTGGGCTACTGAGGGAGGCTGCATGGAGGGCATACAGGTAGGGGATGGATGGCCCATGTGCTGCTTGAGAATAAACCTTGCGGCAGAAAGTGACTTCCCGAAACCCATTTGTTCGCACAGAAATGTGCAACAGAACAGAAAGATGTGGTGTAAAATACCAGAGCATATTTGTTTTAGTAGCATCCCACTCAAGTGCTCTTTTTAAAGGACTTGATTAGTATTCAGAATCAAGAACTTAAAAAATCTATTATCGAGACCTTTTTAGCAACATTAGAGATAATGGGTGAAGCTCATTCCTAGTGTTACTCCTTTGGAATTACACCAGGGCTGGATTTGACCCCATGGCTGTTAATGCAGGATGACAGAAAAATGAAGGAAAATTGCTAATGTGTTAAATAGACTCTGATTGATTGAAAGATTTTTTCTTCTTCTTTATTAGTGGCAAAATGGTGACACCTTTACTTGCTGAAAATCAAGTGCTTTAGTGCATTACCATGAATGAAAAGGAACTTATTTAGAGAAGCAGCTAGAGTAAAATGCTACTGAGGAAAACCATGCAAGGCAGTTCAAATTAAACTGGTTCAAAGCCTGACTGTCTAGGTTTGTGAGGATACCACAGGCCAGGGATTGGGTTCGCCATCCTGTGGAATAAACGTGGCCAGCAATCTGCTGACAGGGAGCACAGGAGGCCCCCGATACCAAAGGGGTCCCCCCCGAGGGCTGCCTTGCCCCGGCCCTTCCCTCCTGCAGCTCCTGCAGAAAGAAACCATACACCTTGCATTGCATCAGAAACGTTTCACCATGAAACCCAGTTAAAACCTACTAGTTCGAAATGCATTTCATCCGAAATCCATGGGGCATTAGTCAGAAGCCAAAGGAAAGGTTTATGGACAGAAGCCACGGAGCCTACGTGATTTACCACTTCTGCTTCAGCTTCAACAACCCTGTAAAATGCCTCTGCCGCATTGCTAGGGACAAGCAAATAAATGCAATTAAAAACAGCGAGGGTGGCATTTGTTTCACCTACCTGTAGCCATTTACAGTGAAGGTGTCCAGGTCTGAAGCAGTTGCCTGGCTCCTCCATGAGACCTGTCCTGAGCACCCGAAATTGCAGGCTGGACTACCTCCTTGCTGTTTTGAAGGAGCTTGGACAAACTCTTCACAAATCCACCCAGGAGTCCAGGGCTTTATTTTTTTTTTTCTGTGTCTTGCCACTGACTTGCTGCATAGCTTTGGGCAAGTTACTTAACCTTGCTAAGACTTTGTTATTTCCCCTGTAAAGTGGGGTTAATAATGGCTATCCGTCACCCCTTGCTTTGAGATCCTTGGATGAAAAGTGTTGCAGAAGCAGTAGATATTAATGGTATCCTTTTCATTCTTTTTCATTAGCTTGTGGCCTTTTGACACCCAGAAGAAGAAACGATGTATTTCTCCTTGAAAAATCTGCTCTTAGATTATTTCCACTGTGATCAAAAGTAGAACGTATCAGAGTTTTCACAGGCAAGCTCCCTTTCAGCCCTGTTTTGCAGACTCAGGCAGTTAAGGAAGTTACAGAAATGCTCATCAGAAATTATTATCCAGGGTGTTTATTATTTCTGTCAGAATGTTATTTTAAATCCATATATATGTATGGATGTACATAAAATTGGGATTTTCAAAAAACACTTTTTTAAAAATCTGTTTCTCAAGCAGCTCAAGGCAGCAACCGTGACTCCAGCTGTCATTTATTTTATTGCAAAAATTGTCTCAAAAGATCTGCCATGGGCCGAGCCCCCAGCCCAGGAGCTCTGATGCTTCTCCCTGCTCAAGCCCTTCAGGGCCACATCTCCCCGGGTGTTTCCCCAGGCCAGAGGGTCCCTGAGCTTTACCCAAGGGGTAGCCATGCCTTGTTGCCTTTTGGCCGCACTGTTCAAGCACTGGCTTCGCTGATGTGGGGCTTTGTGGTGCAAAAGCCAGGCAGACTTTTAACTGAAAAAGCAATTTAATTATTCTTCATATACCTGGGGTCAGAAATATTTATGTCTCTTTAAGTTCTCATACCTTTTTTTTTATAGAACCTTTAAAAAAAATTAAGCCTAAACCTTCACCAAAGGAAACAAATCCTTTGCTTTGAGCAGCTCACAGACAAGGATAGGTGAGACAAACAAAAATGTCACGATGGATGGAAAACCCAGCTGTGAGGGACAGTTTGCAGGAGATGAGGGGCAAGAGCGAGTGTGTTACGTGGCAGCGTCAGGGACCGGTGCAAGACAACCCATCCATACGACAGGGCTGGCAAAGGATTCTGACTGGTTTTCATGCTTCAAAGATCTTTCGATGCTTAGTACAGTGTGGGTAGCAAACAGCCAGGA